CTGACTTGGCTAGTATTCATATACGAAATATACTGTAGCCTTCGCAAGTTCTAAACATGTTACTTGTCGGTTCCTATTTTATTATTAGTAGTAACTAGTCATCGAACTAACCAAGTCAGACCTTAGGCTACATTATATTATCCTAAGTCATAAGAAGAAATGATTTTTATATTGTTATAAATACATTTCAGGACAGACCATTGAACTTGGCACCCATTTAGATCTCACCTCTTTTGTCGTAGAAGTCAACAATAAAGGCATATATCGACGACCTCGGTGGTCTAGCGGTCTAGCACATCGCTTTACGTCTGATGGTCGCGGGTTCGATTCACAAACATTTGTATTCATGAGTATGATTGTTTGTATCGGTCTGGGTGTTTTCTATGTATGATATGTATGTATTTACGAGAACAAAATATCTATGTACTTGTATCAGTTATCTAGTACCCATAATACAAGCTTTAGATAGCTTAACTTGGGACTAGATGGCGCTGTGTGAATTGCCCTGAGATTATATATCATATCGAACTCGGCTATCATTTCACATTTATGTTTTTGATGGGATAATAGGTCTCACTACACCCCCTCCCCCCCAAACCCGTTGGTCCACTATTTACGGGACATCCTCTATGTATACCTATATAATCAATATATATATATATATATTGATTATATAGTCCTATATATATGTACAGTAAAGTCCTCGAGTGGCGACCACGGACCGGAAGACGCAGCGTGGGAAGACCTCCAGCAAGGTGGACCGACGATCTGGTCAAGATCGCTGGAAGGCATTGGATGCGAGCAGCGCAGGACCGATCGTCGTGGAGATCTTTGGGGGAGGCCTATGTCCAGCAGTGGACGTCTTCCGGGCTGCGATGATGATGATGATGATGATATATATTTATTTATTGATTATAATATATTTAATTGATTAATAATATACCTATTTTTAGACGGAGGGCGGTTCTTATAATTACGTTGAAATACTGTTGAATATTTAATAGGAAAGTGCTGCATCGTCAGCGAAACTGCACGTTGCTACGTGGCGAAGGATTAGAATTGTTATTTTAAAATATACATAATATATGTATAGACACAGAAATAGTACGAGTATGTGGTTCTAATGTGAATTTAGAAATAGAACTGAGCGCCGGACCAATAGAGGTGGCCTTTTATATAAATAGGGTTGTTGTTATTTATTGTTCTCATGATATAATATGTTTACAAACAAACAAAAATAGATCAACATTACCTACTTATCAAACTAAAAGATTTATTAACTAACCATTAGTTAATAAATCTTTTAGTTTGATGTCCTAACATAACATCGATGAATCACTAAATCTAAATGTAAATCACTGTTTTTATTATAGAGGCTATTTTATACTGTCATATATTATTTCACTAATAATTATTGTCACATAATATATGCTGAAATCGCATTTTCAGAATAGAGCAGCTAGTATAAGTTTTCCAAAGTTTACTTAATGTCTAAACATAGCCCCACCTGTCGGTGAGAGGAATTTACCGCAAGCTCCACAGGTAACAACAAAGTTAGATGTTTTTTTATGAAATTGACCTTTGATCAGATATGCACGTGTACCACTAGATGGCGTTATAGCTAAATTAGCGAATCCTTTGAACTGTTTTTTAAAAAACATTGCGTGGCGTAAAAATTAGAATCGTTCATTATGTATACTTTGGTAAATTTTCGATGGGAAATAATCTGCCAACAACAACAATATTGAATGAACTAACCCAATAAAAGGCAAATAAAAAATGTTTATCGTTTTACCTTCAATAATGACGATACAGAATTCCATACAGTTCATACAACAGTCTAAAAATAAGTTTCAAGCTGCTAGCTTTAAAAAGGACGCTTCTCCCATACAACCTTGCACCTACGGGGGTAGGTTAAAAAAGAGCTGTAAGGGGTTACAGCCCTCTTTTCGCATTCAAAAGTAGCCTATGTCCTTTCTCCGGGTGTAGAGTTGTAGGCTAACTGTGTACGAAATTACAGTTAAATTGGTTTAGTAATTTTGGCCTGTAAGACTGATAGAAAGACAGACAAAATTACTGTCACAGTTATAATATTAGTGAGGTATTTAATACACTAATCCAAAAAAGCCAGTAAAAATGTTTCATCGTTCTAGCTTCAAAAATGACGAATTTACATAAAAACTTTTATGTCCCTATTTTATTTTACACCCTTAAAAGCAAAATTTTTACAATCTTTGAATGTCTTATTTATATTTAGTCATCAGCCTCAAAAATAAGTTTCAAGCTTCAACCTGCTAAAATGATAAATTAACGTAAAAAAAAAAGAAATTATTCCTATTTTATTTTACACCTTTAAGGGTAATCTATATATATAAAAAAAGGAATTGCTGTTCGTTAGTCTCGCTAAAACTCGAGAACGGCTGAACCGATTTGGATAATTTTAGTCTTGAAATATTCATGAAAGTCCAGGGAATTGCTTAGAAAATAATAAAAACAGCATTTTTTATTTTCCCATACAAACTGCTCATACCTGTCAAACAACGGGTTCGAACATAGGGTTCGTTCAGAAATTTATAGCATAACTACTTGTACCCGCGACTTCGTGCGCGTGGAATTTAACTTTATTTTTTAAAATAAAAGTAACCTAAGTTATTCCTTATTACATCAGCTACCTGTCAATAAAAGTCCCATCAAAATCGGTCCAGTCATTTCAGAGATTAGCCGGAACAAACAGACATACAGACAGATAAAATTTGTAAAAAATGTTATTTTGGTGTATCTACTGTATTTATATTCATATGCATGTAGTAAAAAAACGGTTTTTTCAATATTACAAACAGACACTCCAATTTTATTTATATTCAAATTCAAATTCAAATTCAAAATATCTATATTCATGTAGGTCTATTACAGACTCTTATGATATGTCAAATCTACCGTCAGTTCGGAATGATATCGAGATGAGAAGAACTGACAAGAAACTCAGCTCGTATTTTTTTCAAATAATAGTGGAACATGTTTATAATAATACATATGTAGTCATTAAAATATGTATAGATGTATAGATTAAATTTAAAAAAAGCCATGACATACTATCTAATTTAATTCTGAGGCGGAACAAAGTTCGTGAGGTCAGCTAGTTTTTTTATAAACTTTGAATGCATAATATATACTTAGCCTCAAAAATAAGTTTCAATCTTCTAATTTAAAAAATGAGGAATTTACATACCCCCGGTAAAATAAAATAGGGCATAAAAGTTTTTAAATGTATTTTTTTTTACAAACTTTGAATATCATATTTATCTAAATTTTAATCAACAGCCTAAAAAATAAGTTTCAAGCTTCTAACTTTAAAAATGATACTTCCATACAACCTTTCATCTCCCCTTTCGACCCCTTACAACCATTTTTTCGCATTCAATGTCCTTCCTCAGGCTCTAGAATATCTGTGTACAAATTATTATATTATTTTAAATCGGGTTAGTAGTTTTGACATGAAAACGAGACAGACAGACAGAGTTACTTTCGTATTTATAATATTAGTAAGGAGTAAGGATAAGGATTCAGTAATTTTTTTTTATAACATTTCTAATACATTTATTATTAATAAACAAAATAAACATATATGTTCACCAAAACGTCGGTAATATCATTCCATTTGAATATTCAAGGTGTGCTATATCAGCTATAATATGTCACGTATCAACTTCATTTATTGTGACAACTGTTTCATCAAATGCCAAGCAATACAAGTTTTCTAGTCGTTGTTAGTTCCTGTCGTACATGTACTGATTATTATTGAATAAAGAATATTATTGAATATTATGATGAATGAATGTAGACAAAAACCGAAAAAGCCGTTTTAGATAATCAAATAATAATAAAAAAAACAATTTATAGGTTTAAATAAAACCTTATATTGTTTAAGTTACTTACTACGTCATTACTTAGGAGATTCACGATATTGTCGAAGAAAATAAATATTGTTTTACATGTTCAGTATGTAGCTTTAGGTGTCGTAATTTAGCAGCAGTTTTGTTTTTCTAAATATTTCATAGGCAAAGAAAAAAATTTTGGTTACACCGTTGGCAACACCGTTGCCTAGTTACGACAAACGAATAAAATAACAAACTTGTCATTCGAGATCTCTTTAGAGTATTATCACAGATAATATAATATTACATAGTATTATGTTCAAAATCACTTTCTTGTAAAATAATTAATTTTGGTTACCTTATCTGTGGCGTGGTTTAATTCACCTCTTCAATGCTACTGACTTTCTGACTGACACAAAACAGATGTCAGTAATACACTGATTTCACTGTCATATTTGAATAGTTCATGTCAAGTGATAACATAACCTCAACAAAAATAAAAAAATTCCGAGTGTTCGCGTGAATTTGCACTAAATCTTATCGAAACAATTAATTAAATATAATTTCTTTTTGGTACTTCATATATTCGGTTTCAATTTTATACGGTTTTCATATCTGGCTGAGGTCGATCAATACTCGCTTGAACAGTGGCGAGGTACAAATAACTACAGTTTCGGATGAAAACTAGAAATTTCTACTTGGACGTAGAATTGTAAGTTTAAATCAATACGGTAATTTTTTATTACTAATAGTACAGAAAATATATAACCTATTAAATGGTGTCTCGTACGGACTCGGTCGCGATCGTCGGGTGCGTGTTTCGTAGAGTTCCCGTGAGATAAATTTTTACGTAACCACTGCAATGGATATCCGACTCACAGGGGAGAGGCCGCGGAGAGCAGATTGAGAGCGCGCAGATTCGTGGAGGAGTGTGTGCAGTCGTTGTTCGGCGAGTGCGGGGCGGCGGCGGCGGCGGTGGACGTGGTGAGCGTGGGCGGCGCGCGCGCGCTGGTGCGGGTGCGCGGCGCGGAGCTGCGCCGGGTGCGCGCCGCGCTGGCGCTGTCGCCCGCAGCCGCCTCGGTGCTGCGGCAGTCTCCCTCGCTGCAAGCTCTCCTCTAGTCTCCTCACTCCACTCGAGCACCACCGCTACTACTGTGAGTGGACCGATATGACTATGGTCTGTTTTTTTTATTCCCGGACCGATATTGTCTACTTCATAAAACTTAACCCTATTTTTTTATTTGAAAGAAAAATATTGTCTGTTTGTAGCTTAATACTGTTAAAAAATACTGTATGTATGGAAACTACAAAAAATTATATTTGTCTTGTACTATTGAAAATATATTGTGATAACTTTGTATAAAACTCTAAAACAATACTAAACATTTATCAACATTATTGAAAAATTTATCATTTAACAGTCAATTTAGTTTTTGAGATTAACTATGCAGCAGACTATGGCCATTAACTTTCCACAATGTGCCATCATCCTCTTTAAATCTTAAAATAGGACTGAATTCAAAATTCTTAATTTGTCCTTTAACTCAATTAACTATTTAATTAAAAACTAAAGATTATTTGTATAAATGTTTTATAACCTACAGTAATGTTGTCATCATCCTACTGTTGCATGTTTATTACTAGTCTGCCGCCCTGGCGAGGACCGGCCACACTAATGTAATCTGTTATATTTCCCATTTTTTTTTATTGGAATATATTATTACTATGTAGACAATTTTTTTAATCTTTTTACTTACAATTAATCAGATCTCATCACATTTGTTAAACAGTGTTTAAAATTTAGTTTTCTAGAATATTTTGATTTGACGGTTCCATTGGTTTAGTAGTTTAGTATCATGGGTGTAGCCACGGTGGGGCAGGGTGGGGCGCTTGCCTCATCCTGGCTGACCTGTAAGGTACCTAACCAAACCTAAAAAAATTAATTGTCTAAGCACTAACTAGGATACTTAATATCCATAAGAAAATTCATCCTCAACAGTTGACACAAAATATAACATAGAGATACAGGGTGCTATAGGGTGTGACCGTTTTGTATGAAAAATTTAAGTGGGGTAAGACTGCAGGGATAGTTTGCTAGTTACATAATATTTTAGATCGCGCCCCGACCCTGAGCCTGGCTGACTATCTAGCTAAAAATGGTCACGGTTATAATTACTCGCTCTGTACAAACATTTTTATTCGATGTATGTATTTACAAACAAAAATGATAAACAAAAACAAAAATGGGACTATTTCTATCAGATTTTTAGTCTCCATTGTACGTTGATGGCGTCGCGTTAATCATCTTATGAGTTTTATGTTTGCGTTTTTTCCAGCGAGATGTCATCCCAGACAATATTAAAATCCGGCCCCGAAGGAAAGGACACGGTGATCGTGGCGAGCCGCGAGGCGCTGTCGGCGCCCAGCTCTGTAGTGCTGCCCGAGCCGCAGGCGGCGCCCGGCCTCATCCTGCCCGACGGCTCCATCAACTGGGGCTGTCCCTGCCTCGGCGGCATGGCCACCGGACCTTGCGGGACGCAGTTTCGAGACGCATTCTCATGTTTCCATTACAGGTGACTATTTTTTTTATAGAGATCACATTGTCTGGTTCACTTCTGATTTTTATGCGATAGGATTATTAGGGTTAATTTTAAAAATAAAAACCGGAACATCAGTTTAAATTTTCCAGTTCCGTTTCGATCCGGTTCATTTCGAAAACGTCGTGCAGGCCTGTACGCTTACGTATACTTTTGATATGACGTTTCAGCGAGGCGGATCCGAAGGGCAGCGACTGCTACGAGAAGTTCAGCGTGATGCAGGACTGCATGGCGCGGTACCCCGAGCTGTACGGGAAGGACGACGACGACGACCTCGCCGCCGCGCTCGAGTCCTCGGCCAATGACCCCGCGCCGCCCTCGACCCCCTCGACCCCCGCGCCCCCCCCGCCCCCCTCGCACCCCGCACACCCCGCGGACGCCTCCCCGGCCGCCGCCGCGTCTTCGTCACACTAACGTGTCAACACCCACATCATTTTATACTGAGAACAACGAAGAATGGCAGTTGAATAATTGTCCACGATGCTGCCGTACCGACTCGTCACCTTGAGACATGTTGCACGCTCTATATACACGGGACGCTCACCGTGACAACATTATGAGGTCCAGAATTTCTACTCCGTATCGTCACAGTCGCGGGCCGACTGAAACTGTTTGATGGTGTGCTCTAGTAGTACCACGCGCCGTTCTATATACCCTGTGTCAATTTCTCTGCTATGAGTAATTCAAATAGGTCAAATGGTCGATCAGTTTATAATTTATGTGGGTGATGTCGAATTTTTTAAACAAAATAATATAGTTTACAAATAGAAATTAAATTGGTTCGTTTTTAATATGAAAGATGCATTTCTCAAACGTTACATTATTCCATCTACTCTGATCTGCCACTAGTTCTCCGTCTCGCCGCGGTGATGATGGCAAATAAATGATTCCATTGTTGTTGTTGTTCCATTAACAGAGTGTGATCGCTGCTAAGAACTAAACATTGACGTGGGTGCGTGTGCGTATGTCCATCAGTGCATTGCTTAGTTTGTTAGAGTAATGTTATTGTTGTTTGTAGTCATTTAGTACGTAAATAAAATATGTTTAATATATATTAGTCTTAATTAAATAACCTATCAGAAAATGTAATAATGTTAGAGATGAAACGGATAGCAGTTTGACCGGAAACCGGATACCGGATATTCGGTCAACCATGTGGCCGAATAGCCCAATATCCGGCAGCCGGATATCCGGTGGAACTTATCTAACTAATAAATCTATTTTCTTTCTATAACAGTCATTTACCATTGAGTGATTAAAAATTTAAAACTAAAACAAATTTTATTCCTTAAGTAATATTAAGACTAACTAAATAAAGCAAATAATTACTTAAAAAAAAATTAGTTACCCTAGTTAGATATTTTTTTTAATTCGGCCGGATACCTATCCGACCGAATAGTAGTTATGCGGTATTCGGTCGGATAGTGTTAAGGCCGCCGGATAGGCTGGATACCGAATAGTTACCGGATATCCGTTTCATCTCTAATAAATGTACAGTGTTGCAGAATACTTATCAATTTATCTATGTCTATTTCTACATTATAGTGGACAGCGCCACCTACTGGCTTTGTTAAAAACATACTCGATCCCAGTGAGTGCTAAAGGCAATGCGTACGAACGGCTACAATATCACGACCGTGCCAACAGATGGCAGCAGTAGTGTATTTAGGGGCACAAAATTTACAAATAATGTCAGTCAACTAGGTATAGGTAGGTAACAAAGACAAACTAGAGCTCGCGAAAAATATTTATTTGTTGATTTTATAAAATAATACTTGTTTTACGGGCACGTGAGACGCACACTCTAGTTTAGTTCCACACTAAACTGACACACATGAGCAGATGACATCTATCTAAGGGCAGCCTCAGTGAAGTAGCCGCCGTTGCTCAGCGTCATTACCTTTAGCTTTAGCTGATGTTTTATAAACGATTGAGGTCAGTGCGGGGTCGCGGTTTGACCCGTGCACAGTGCCGGCAACTCATCTAGCGTCTAGTGACGTGTCGTGTCGTGTCGTGTCGTGTTCACTCTGCCCTGTGCATGTGGTATACACGAGTTTACATGTAGGCGCGGCGCGGCGCCGCGGCGCAACGATCATAAAACAAACAATTTCTCAGGCTCCCGAGTGCGTCCGATCACAAACAATGACACGTTCCACACAGTAAATGCAGCATGATAATAGCGCCGTTGTAGTTTAAACATTGTTAGGAAACAGCGGCCTCCACGCGGTCACCCCTCTAGTTAATTCCTGGTAATTTCGCCACAATGAGCTACTTCAACGGACTTCATGTTTATTCCATGACACACGGGTGGTGTCACGCCAGCGTGTAGCTATATCCATAAAAAACACATGACCGTCGACGCTGTTTCCGAGTTAACTAGACTCCAGTTTAGTGTGAGACTAGACGATAACTACTGTGCGTGACATGTGCACGTAAACATGTATTATTTTCTAAAATCCATATATAAATCGTTTTCATGAGCTCTAGTTCATGTTTGTATAGTTTTGCAAATGCACTATAATTGTCTGGTCACTGTAATGTTCCTATTTAATTTATACAGGAATCTGCATTTTTTATAATCATGTAGAAGCTCATTTGGAATGAATAAGAGTTGAGTTTCTTGTCATTTCTTCTTAGCTGGTTATCACTCCGACTCCGAACTGACGGTAGATTTGACATTTCATTAGAGTCTGAAATATATCTGTATTTATAATGATTTTCCGAGTTGGTTTGTTTACGTCGCTGCCGAGACGGCGCGGCGGGATATGAGCGCTATAAAACCGCCACAAGCTGTCATTATAAATTTCATAACACGGATTCTTGTTATTGATAACGTTCCGCGGAGTCCACAGCAGCGTCAGCCGGAACCGAACCCCGTCTGATCGATTGCCAACTACAGTGAAGTGGGATTTTGCCCGCGCACACGGAACGTGCCAATCTGAAGCTTACAACGTCGCTATTAGAGCGACCAGAACGACTCGAGGCGAGTGCGAGGCGGGTAGGTGTAGATAGCTGTGTATGTGTATAGAGTGCCATCCACGTTAGTACAAAGTGCGGCAATGTTGTATATCAGCGTGTTGCATTCCTTGGCAGGCGCATGGGAAAACTATCGCAACACGTCCACTACGACAGACGACTGTCGGCGCGGCGGTCGCATCCATCGCCGGACACCGGACGCCGGCACTACACACTACACACTACACACTACACTACACGACACACAATTACACGTAGAAGGCAATATTTATTAAGTTACCATCGATAAAGTGTTTTTAAAAAGTTCTTGCACTTGTCGATATTATAAGATTATATTTGTGCAGGTCACGAAACGTCTATATTTGGAGGAGCGATCGGTTATCTGTACTTGAGCCAGGCGATATGTCAAGTCAGCTAAAAGAAGCTAAAGTGTTAAAAATGGATGGAGCTTAATAAGAAGAAACGTCCGGAAACTTAAAACTAGCGATAAATTCATTGTCCTTCGATTGCTCTTGTTTCGCTTCTTTTTTAGTTACTTGGCCATTTTGTTCGATAAATCTAATTAGAAATTTGATGTTAACTGCAGAATATATTATATATGTATATAGATGGAGTTACAAAGGGATTGTTGGGTAGTATTATGGATTTGTCAGTTGGTTATTATGGTGATTGTAATAAAACTAGGTGATTGTGTATAAATTAAAATAATTTGCTTCCGTGTATTGTGAATAGATCAATTTCCAACAGGGCTACTGATATTAATATAAATATACGCCGAAATGCGATAGTAAACAGGAAATTATGTTAGTATCGCAGTAGATGTCTTCAACTGTTTTCAAAGTGGGACTCGTGTGCATAGAAATGGATGCCTGCCATGTTGGATAAAACTGACTAAACGGGAAGTCGCTGGGAGTAGAGTGGCGGCCGGCGGCGGCCTCGCCTCACGACGCGCGACGACTGTTTCTGTCGCTTTGTCTGTTGTAGTGTATTGTAAGGCTTTTCTAGCATTACAATACAGTTTGAATGTTTTCAAAAACTTTCCTGAAACTAAACAAGGACAATAAAAATAATTATTATGCTCACAGTAGCTAAAAATGCTCAAGACACGAATTTAGCAGCATGAGATTTGTTGTGGCAGCAGTCTGTTATCAATGGCCACAATAGGAAGCCGGTGGTCGGTGGTCGGTGGTCGGTGGCTACCGTCCTGAGTCCGGCGTAGAGAGTGTGGCACGCCACCGACGGCGGCCGGAGTGCCCGATGTTGGTACTGGTTGGTACTGGTTGGTACTGGGCTCAGTATCAAATGAGCCATTGAATGTCCGCGCTGGCAGCTCATGTGCGACTCAAATGGAACACAGCGCTGATCAACATATTCATTGAGAGTTCTTCAAAGCGCCGGCTGTTGTTTGCTCGCCCTCCATTTCAGTAGTGATGTATTCCGGTACATGCCTACATTGTGTATCTACGATGTAAGTAAATCAGTTATTGAATAATTCGACGAATATCAATTGTTATTGTGCACCAGGCGCCTCGACCGCCGCCACATATATATCCTCTACTCGTGAGGCACTGTACTGAAAAAAAAAAAAAGAAACTGTAAAGATTAAAACTAATCATAAAGAAACCCATGCAGTATTATACAGAAAGTGTAGTATGCAGTCTCAGTAAGTTTATGATATTACGGTATAAATTTTGCACATTGTCGCAGAACTCTGTGTGACGAATTCAACGTTATATAAATGTATAAACGCTACAACGTCATATTAACGTTCAATTTATCTATAATTATATATTATATTTATATAGTTCTTATATAGGTATATTGTTAAACCAAACGAACACTATTTACCCCTTTTTACGAAGTATGTAATTTGTTACAGTTAAAGTTTTTATGGACAAGTAGAGTAGAACTCTATTTTGTCGGGGCTGGCGACTCTACAACTCCGGGTCCTGACTCCTGAGCCGAGCCGATCTGAAGGTGTCCGTATCCATCTCAGTATGCTACCGGATACAGTGGACACCTGCAGTATTCTGAAAATAATGAGAAATGTAAATAAAACAGTAACGGTATGTTATAAGTATCGTCACACGATTCCTGTGTTCTGGTGCTCTGTGTGGATGTTGTCATATTTTGTACAATACAACTATATCTAATTACTATACATGTCAGTATTCACTGCCTACTTGGCTGTCATCTATTCACACAATCTGTCCGTCTTGTTTAAGATCTTATAGTAGTAGTAGTAGATAGTAAACTAATATGTTTTCAGTCTGGTAGCTATATAATACGCACCAACTGTATGACATATTATTGTTTGGGTTTGTGCAGGTGCCGTGGCTTCACATTGTTCCGACACTTGTACCCTATGTGTTTTTTATATATGTTGAAACATTGTTAGTAGGAATGTGGTGGCCGCGATCTAATCGCTCGCAGCCGCGCGCCCCGGCGCCGCGGCCGCGGCCGCCTCCCAACTTTGGCACTGCGTGTCGTGTTTGTTTAATTACAAAACTAATAACACGAACAATGTGTGGTAATATGAACTGATGATCATATTGCTAGCTATGTACCTTGTCAGGTTGACTTCTACGCGGTTCTCCCTGGAAACCATCGTCATAAATTCTTGGTGAATTTAGCTTAGTTTAGCTTAGTTAGCGCAGGCGGGTGGGGTGCAGCATTCCATTATCAGCCATAAAAAACACGAACAACGTAAATGAAGTATTTCAGTCGGTCGTATCGTAGTAGGTACACACAGTGGTGGCGCTGCGAGTGGCTGCGGGCGACTGTAGGTACTGTGTCACTCGTGTGTACATACTCATACTCGAGTACACCCGGGCGACAGCACGTAGCCAGGTTTGGTATAATTTTATCTTAACTGACGTCGATCCGGCTTACGCTCGACTCGAATGGGCGGTTTTTATCGCATTTTTATTACATTTTGTAGTTGTTTGTGACAGTAATGCGTGCATTAATCCGGCGAACGCTGCCTACGTACTCAGTAGGTACATCGATTCCGAAGCCTGCAGGCGCGACGCAATGCATCGGAGCACACTTACTCGTACACCGCGGCGCTGCTTGTTGACGAAGAGCGGGCACGATACATACACTTGGCCTGTGTCTAACTGATCTATCTGATCTGTAAAAAATAGCCTTTTTCAGTTTCTAGACTATAACCAAACTGTGTGCAAATATTCATTTAAATCGGATCTGTAGTTTTGACGTGAAACTGAGATAAACATATAGAGCTACTTTTGCATTTATGATGTTAATAATAATTATATTTGTGAAATTCAATAAAAAATCCTGTCATTATGTTGGAGGAGAGACTTGGTAGTGAGTTGTGTCTGCGGCCGGGACCACACAAGCCAATGTAAGGAGCTTCTCGGTCCGCGGGCTCTCAGAGCGTTCCTCGTTGTCTATAATTTATCGGAGAATACGTAACAGGACACGAGAAGTCGGATGTCGTTTGAAAATTAGTTTCCAAGCGATATTACTAAAGCGCAGCGGCGCGGCGCGGCGGCGATCAGCCGTCACCGTCACCGTCACCGCACTAGTACGTACCTACTAAATACTGCGACATGCCATCCTTACTGAGGACGTTTTTAACCATCGTATCAATCATTCCAGCATTTCTTATGGCTTAAGTATCCAGTTTAGTGTTCATTTAATGATAAACCAGGTGAAAAAGTAGTTTTACTAGTTTTACCGGCGCTCACTCCTCGTGATTGGGTCACGTCGGTTGAAGGGAACAAAGCAAATCATGTCCAAATACTGTATGCTTAATGTTGCCACTTAGTAGAGGCGTTAGGAGTTTTACGACGCTAATAATAAAATACAAAAGTTTTTGAAAGTGCCTAGTGAATATAGTAACAGAAAATGTAATAGGTATCTAGAGATGGAGAACTATAGTCCGCCGCGAGTACACGTGCACGTGTTCAAGAGTTGAATCTAGCTGCCGCTCTTCTATTCTATAGTAGTTAGTAGTACCTCGACCCCTCGCACGCCCCGCCGCCCCGCCGCCCCCCTCCCGCCCGTTGAAAGACGTAGAAAAAAACTTAGGTCTGGCATGCGGTCCACATTCGATTAAGTTTTTGGCAAATAGCGACTATTTTCCAATTTGGCTGCTCTCTGCTAAGTTAATGGTTTGTGATGTCAGCGTGTGGTGGTCTGGAGCGCTTCGAGATAGACGATAGCAGATGCAGGTGTTGTCTGTTGTGACTATTGATTCAGTGCAGGAACAAATAATACAATCAGAAGAATATAACCTTAGAGATATGAAGAAGTAAGAAATAGTAAAAATAGATAATTTTAAAATGTTACGGACACGGTGCGTCGCGCGGCGTCGTCTGCCGCACACGGGGCACTGTTGTCAATTGTCATCGATATAAACTGGTAATCGATGGCTCGATGGCCGTTCCACGCATAATGTCCACCATGCAGACATATGCAGACAATTTATACTATTATAGATAAATTCGATGTAGCAAATACCCGTTGCAGTGTTGATTAAACGGAGCTATTATAGAATGATGTCAGTAATATTAGGTTGTTAATTATTATAGAATTAAACATTAAACGAATATATTATTTTCAATTACTATTCGTTTCCGCAGATCATCGTTTGTTCGAGGGATTACCTACTGGGGAGCGGCGTACAAATAGTATTAAGCTAGGTATTCATGGGGACTGGCCGTGCACGTTGCACCCGCCGCCGCGCCGTGCCGCGCCGTGCCGCCCCGTGCCGCGCCGTGCCGCGCCGCGCCGCGCCGTGCCGCGCCGCGCCGCGCCGTGCCGCGCCGTGCCGCGCCGCGCCGCGCCGTGTCGGCTGGTATCGAGCGTCAAATCAATGCATTCGAGTGCACGCGTGGCGTCGCGTCGTGCGAATCGAGTTTTGATGATGGAGTTAGCGAGCGGCGGCCGGCGGGGCGCCGCGGCCGGGGCGTCGCGGCCGGGGCGCCGCGGCCGGGGCGCGCGTGCTTTACATTTTAATTGCACTGTTAGTTATAACGAGGCGGGTCATCTGGAGCGGGAAGGATTCATGGAGCCGATAACGTAACGCGATTAGTTGCGTCCGCTGTGGTGTTGAGCGCGGGCCGCGACTGTTACCATCACACGACGGCAGCTCCAGCCGTCACTGCAGGGTCACCAGCGCCGCGCCGCGTCGTCGGCCGCAATATTTACTTTGTATTATATATCTGTGTATTACGAATGTATTGCGCTATCCGGCTCCCTGTTGTTGTACGCTTCGTTTAATTTAGCTCTCTTTGTTGACTCCCGGGATTTCAAAATTGAAATGTATTTTTGAACTGAAATACAGAACCATCGAACGCTCCCCGAAATGTTTCGTCATGTTTATTTTTGTAATGGCGCTCATAGAAAACTGGTCGATGATTGCGAATTCTTTCTCGATTGTTATGTAGTGCTGGGTACTGCGGGGCCGGATGACGACTCAGACAATTGTAACGCGACCTACTACAAGCTACAAACTTAATTCTCAAAGTAACCATACAAATGTATGAAACAAATGAATATGATTTTTTACGCAACCGTCTCTTATATGTATTTGATTGAGTACTTGGTAGTAAATTGAGAACATATGTTACAATTTCCAAAACAGGCAGCATGTACCGTACACTATCGTAATTTAATATTTGCAAATCTATTACTGCTTCCAGTTTTTGAGCTGTATTGTCCCGGTTTTTATGGTTCACATCCTGATTTTTAAATGTAGGGTTGGCAACCCTAGTTTAAAAGGATCTGTAAACATAAACAAAGATGACGTTTATAATAAAATGCTTTGAAAAATAAGCTTAAATACATAGTAGAGGCCGCGCCAGATGTCGTGTCGGCTCCAGGCTCCGTCCATGGAGCACGCACGGCCACAGATTAAACGAACAGAGTGAAAGCTTCGTATTATGATTAATATACTGCTTCAAATATGCGGCGCGGCGCGAGTGCATGGGGCCGCTCGTGCAGGCACCTTCCAACTAATATGAAAATACTTTAGTGCTCGGTTGTAGTTTGTACTGTAGCGTCGTAAAATTAATTGAAATGAAATTTATTTGCGACTAGCTGTACCCGCGACTTCGTACACGTGGAATTTAACTCTATTTTTTCTAAAATAAAAGTAGCCAAGTTACTCCTTATTACATCAGCTACCTGCCAAAAAAAGCCGCGTCAGAATCTAGTCTAGCCATTTCAGAGATTAGCCGGAACAAACAGACAGAGAAACATATATTGTAAAGAATGTTATTTCGGCGTATGTACCGTATTTATATTCATATGCGTGTAGTAAAAAACGGTTATTTCAATATTATTATTAACAGCTACTATAAATGAATGCTGATTCTCATTATATAAAAAAAATATTCAAAAGAGCAACACACAAGTTTCTTGCTCATTCTTCTTGTGAGGAATCTGCGTTGCGAATGAGTGGTAGAATCAAAATATGATTATACTATTCAAAAATGCTTGTAATGAGTTTATTGTATTTGCCCCGTTGTATTTTCCTCTATAAGCTTTCTCTCCGTTTTTTCCCACTTAATGCAAGGAAACCGGGTGCAGTTAGAGAGGCGTATAGGGTCGTACTGGCTGTACTTTGTTGTATTGTGTATTGAAACAACGCGAGCGGCATTATCCCTGCGAACAATTTCATAGTCGGGACTTGGGCTGCTTTTAAACGCATATTCGACATCAAAACCGCAGGCAACTCAGCCGCTACACCCAATAACACTATCCGCAATTCCTCCTTCACTGCTATCTGTTTAAAGTTCAAAATTGCATAACAGGCGTGCATGGGAAACGTTGCACGGGTAATAACATGGGAGCGGCTCTTAATACCGCACATCCGCAGTCCGCCGCGCCGCGCCGCGCCGGGTTCCGTACCCCTGTGCACACATACAAACATAACGTACGGGGGACATGCCATGCCACACTCAAAATTTGCCTAATTTATTATAATGATAGTTGAAATACCATTGTACGGAGAGCGCCCGTACACTATGAAACCCAGTGTGTGTGTCTGTATGTGTGTTGTGTCCTATACAGACCTGCATCGTTAGTATACAATGCAGGTTAAAAGGGTAAGCGAGGGTAAACGATATTTACATAGAATTGTTTAAATTAAGAAGCGATATAAATATAACAACAACTGAATAATGAATAATGGTGCAAGAACCTGCAATTGACATGGCAACAACATACGTAATAATTAGCTATACCTACGTACGTACGATGAATTGTATCTGTTAATCTATACATCTATACATATAAATAGATATGCAGTAGTCAAATAACATGGTTTACAATTTTTGTCTGTCTGTCTGTTTGTTCCGGCGAATCTTTGAAATGGCTGGGCCGATTTTGACAAGACTTTTTTTTGGCAGGTAGCTGATGTAATAAGGAGTAATTTAGGCTTTATTTTAGAAAAATGAAGTTCCACATCCACATGAAGTCGCGGGTACAGCTAGTATTATCATATATGTTGCCTAGTGACTTGAAACTACATAGTTAATATATATGGAGATCGAAGCATTGATGTATAATTACATAGTGATTTCGAAATATCATTCTAACTTATATTACTATTATAAATTTAAACTAAAGTATTATCAGTATATTGACATTGTAGACTTATAACTTTCATGATCCGATAGATCCGAT